GTAATGGTCCCAGAGTACAGTGTTTGTGTCTGCTCCGGCTTGTTTGTGAGGCCTCATGGTTCTCATAAATAAAGGTTTCCTCGTTTTTCCCGGAAAAGAAAGAAAAAACACGGAAAAAAGGTAAAGGACGCAGTTAGGCAGAGGCAAGTGTGCTATCCTTCAAGACGAACAAACGTGGGGTCCCTTTTCACAGCAGCATTTTCTGAAGTGTAGCCGGACCTTGATGCGTCTGGCCGCAATCACGTCCAGAGCTGACTTGAAAAAGTCTTAGTGTGAATATGCCGCGGACAAGGTGTGTGGAGGAGGAGTGCCTGTACATGCCATACGACCTAACGGATGTTCTCAAGGATTCACCGAAAGTCCAGCTGCTCAGGGAATTCTGGTGGGTTCTGGAATCTCAGGGAAGTTTCTACGCAGGCTGGCTTTGGCAGCAGGATGTCTGTTGTCCGTCTGCGGGGTGTCTTTCTCTCTCAGGTCATTGACGGCCGATTAGCCCGCCGTTTCCCAAATAGAACGCCTAGGAGAGGTGCGTTTTCGGTTTTTTTTTTTTTTTTTTTTTTTTTGTGTTACGTTAATTGCGTTTTCGTTTTGAACACACCGTAGGACTGTTTTGTTTTGTTTCTTTGGGGGGTACCCGGACTGTCCCACTAAAGGTGGTCTTTTTGTCTGTCCTGAAGGGCGCTTTCTCTTTCTGTTTCTTTTTTTTATTGTTTTTGTTTCTTTTGAAGTAGCCCCCCCCCAGCGTATGGGTATAGTATAGCAGCATGCAGCCACATGGCTTGTGGGCCACGCTGCAGTGCACAGCGGTCGAATGCACTTGGACTCCTCCTTCGTCCATATAACATTCAAAATGTTTGTATCAGTCGGCGGGTATCTGGTCAGCGTACCGTCCAGATACCTGTGGAGTGTCGAATCCTGCAGCGAGGCGCAGCGTTTGATGGCCGCTTTCGCGTCAGAGTCCTGTGCAGCAGCAGCAGCAGCACGACGTGCCAAATGGTAGGAAAGCCAAAAAAAAAAAAAAAAAAAAAAAAAAAAAAGGTAGGAAAGAAACGGCAAGCCTACGTGGCTAAATAAGGTACATCCACATAAGTGTCACCCTATAAGTCCTGAGTTCGATCCTCAGTTTGCATACGGTTAGGTTAGGCCTTACCACAGAGCCCACAGGAAAAAACAGGGTAGGCAACGAGATAATCAAGAAAAGGATATGGAAGCATGTCATATGTCATCCCTATCGGGATCGCGGTGGGTAGGTAACCTGGTCGCTCGCTTAGCTGTACTGACGGCTACCGTACGATGCGTAAAGTAACGTACACGTGTGAGGAGATCCTAACGACGTACTCAGATTTCGATGTGTTGCTTGTTTTAGGTTATGAACCTGACGTCCTTTTCGGGAAATAGTCAGTCAAATGTAGCCCATGTGAACGTACGCAAAACTGATAGTGACCTAGCCCAGAGGTGAAACCCACCCGTCTTCCGTAATTCTTTGGACTGCTGGCTCAGCATAGACCGCGCTAGAATGGTTGATTTCATTCACACTACAGCTCGGCAGCTGAAGGGCTTTACTGCACAAAAACAACAATCAAAATGCATGTGGACGTATTTGTGATCTGTATACGGCAAAATGTTGGCTCAGTCCGAATGTATCTGGACCACGGACTGTCGATTCATTTCGAATGTTTGCTCAGCGGAGCCAGGCCCCAAATAGGGTTATCTCGCGCAATGACAACCTAAACCGGAAAAAATAGCGCGCGTGTTATCGCGTCCGTAGCGATTCCCGGGGACCGCCTTTGTCTGCGCCAGGCCTCGGCGCTCCAGCCACCGAATGTGAAAAAGACAAACTATTCGGAGGTATATTTATACGTTCTGGGTCCAAATACATTTCTGTTTTTCCATTTTGCACTTCGGTGGGTGGAGCGGCGAGGGCCTACGCGAGGACTGCCCTGAAACACCGTATCTGGACGGTGATTGCGTCCAAATTACGTGGACCTAGTCCACGAGCGTGTGTAAGCGTTATTTTAGAATCGCTCAGCCTTCGCGCTTACTGCTGTAGCGGGAAGGCAATCTACGGCTAAAAAGGAGACGGCGATTTTCAATTTCAATTTCGAATTCGAATTGCGCCAGTGGGCGGGCTTTTCTTCGAAAACGAGAGGAGGAGCGCGATATTTTACCGTGCGCGCTTCCGTCGCCCCGCCAAAATTCGTGTTCGAAGATTGCGCGATTGATCCGTCCCGCCCCGTCGTTGCCCCGTCCCCCGCCCTGCGCCGCCCTGCCCCGCCCTGCCCCGCCTCTCCCTGCCTCTCCCTACGAACAACCACGCACAAACACACCCACACACAGTTCCTTCCTTTTCGCTTCGCCCTGCTGGTCTTACGTACATACATTATTGACACGAATTGTTTCCGGTCGTTGTTTCCTCTCTTTCCTCTAGTCTCGGAGTTGCTTACGACGGCCCGCTGTCGGTGCAGTATGTGTTCTCGTCTCTTCGACAAATAAGTGCGAGCGTGAAAGCCCTTGCCTGGTCGCTGACGCGATTTCTCACCATCGATAGGCTGCGGCATATTGCCAAGTACTTGTAGAGAGGACGCACTCGCGCGATCGCTTGGAGTTGGTTATGGCGGTCGACTTCAGTGCGATCTCATCGGAGGATCTGACGCCTGTTCGCCGTACGCAACGTTCACGCAATGGCAAGTTTCCTGTCCAGCGGTGCTATTCATCTCTCTTTTCCTCTCGTCTCCAAACTTCCTGAGAAATATCTCGACTTATTCTTCGCGCGCTGCGACTCTTAAGCAACGGCGCCTTCTGTGCCGATCGGGTTTTCTTTGTCTTCCACTCGTGTCTCTCGTCTTCGCCCCTCTCTTGAATTCTCACGTTGAATCGCCTCAGATATATGTGTCTTAAAGATTCTTCATGCTCCATATTCGAACTTTACTGGCTCTGTTTCGTGTTATAGCTTGGCGCATTGATTCGCGAAGAATGATGACTGAGCTACAAGAGTCGAAACGCGGGGCAGAGAGACGACTGAGTGACGAGAATCGAACGGGAAAGGCGAGAGAGAGAGAGAGAGAGAGAGAGAGAGAGAGAGAGAGAGAGAGAGAGAGAGAGAGAGAGAGAGAGAGAGAGAGAGAGAGAGAGAGA